ATATATATATATATATATATATATATATATATATATATATAATGATTGCAATGTAAGTAAATATGCTTCACTATTGAGAATTGTGATTTGAAACCATGTGATTCCTTGATTCAATAGTCAGGCTTTAAGTTTAGTTCATCTCAGTACTTACTTGTGATACTTATTTGTAATACTAGTTTTAATGTTGATCAAAGCTGAAAAATATACCTCAAAATTATTTGACATTTCCAAATGGAAGAAGCTAATTGCATTGTTGACTTTGTAAATTCTGACACTTGTTTTTCAATCGCATCTGCCAATAATGCAATGTTTTTAATTAAGATTTACATAATATATGTGTCAACATATTGTTAAGGAAAACTCACAGGAGGGCGTTGTGCTTTTATATTTTTAACAAAAGCATTTAAAAGTTAGTGTAACATTTACTTGTAGATCGAAAGATTCTGTTTTTAATGTTTTTCATGTGGTAGTTTTGTACTGATAAACTCTCTTTTTCCCAAAACCATATAGCGTGGAAACATTTCTAAATATCCATCTTCATATCTTCTCACACTCAAGACACTTTTAAAAATCAGTTTATTTCTCACTTATTTTTAAATTTTAAACCTTTTGAATTCTAAGAAATTTCAAGTATACGAAGTAAAAAAAAAAAAAAAATAGTGCAATGACTCCCCTTGTACACATTAGCCAGGCTTTCTAGTATAACAGGTTGTTCCAGGCTTTCCTTGTATTTCTTGCTAGCTTTTATTTTTTTCTTTGGAATCCTTTTAAATACTTTTTGTGACTGTACCTCCTTCATTGCTGGTTATTTAAATCCTTCATAGAACCTTGCTTTATTTTTTTAGAGTGCCACTTACTACCAAGAGCTTATCTTTCCTGACATCTGTTTCTTTTCATGTTTAACAATAAGAAGAAGAAAGCTGCATATTTGTGTATTTGGTTATTAAAAGACAACGTATCTCGAATAGAGTAGCCCATTGTTGTCTGCAGTTCTAGTGATTGAAGTCATCAAAAATATTTAAAGATACTTAAAATTGTTAATCTGTTGATCAAGAAGTATTTATAAAAACTAGTACATAGGCCTGTACTGCTCTCCACACATTAGCAATGTTGACTGTCACCCTACATTAAGGAAACACTGTGGGGCGAGTGTCCTGGGGGGTGTGATTTAAAACTCAGTGCACAGACACAGGTGCCATGCTCCATCCCCGTCATGGTGACCTGAGTGAATTGGCCTGACCACCACTGGGGTCACACACTCCAGGATGAGCTAAACAATGACAATCATCTTGATGTGTATGTTTGTATCTTTGTGTGTGTGTGTCTGTGTGTCTGTTTGCAGTATGTAGAAACAAAAAAATGACATATTTTCAGGGAAAGGTTTTCTAGTCTTTGGAATTTAATAAACTTTGGAAATCAGAAAGAAGGAACGTAGCAAATAACCACAAGCTGAGAGGAGTTAAAAACAACCTACTGACTTTCAACTGTGTAGTAAACTTTGTACATGGTCTAATTAATTTTGATACTTGTTTCTTTAAATCTTCAACAGTGTTTTTTTTTCCTTTTTTTTCAACAGTGTTTTAATATGTATCTTCAAAGGTGCTTATAACAAAATACAATTCAGCTTATCACAATATTGTCATCTGTTATTTAGCCTTTTTTTAACTGTGGCTCAAATTAGAAGTATTCCTCATAGTATGTGAAAAGAGGCTTTCAGATGTTATTATAGAATTTTTTTTTTTTATTTTGTAAAAACCAAACTGGATTATCCTGAATTCTTTCTCACCAGAGACTCTCTAAGAGTCTGTGTTTTAAGACTCTCACTGCCCCCTCAAGACACTCCCAGTTCATGACATGATGTATCCAGTATGCACACCAGGGTATGGTAAGTTCTGATATCAGCCTGTACGTTAAGCCTTCATGAAGGCTAATTTTTTCATATTTTATATAAAATCTATATAAGCCCTACTATTTCCTCCCCATAAACCGATGAATAATTTTGCCCACATCCTGGGGTATACACAGAGAGTCAGAGAAGTCAAGTTCAAATCCTGGCTCTGAGACTCACCCCCTGTGTAATGTAGGGCAAGTTACTTATCCTTCGTAGGTCTTGGTTTTGCTTTAAGGTAAAAGGGAGACGCTACAATTGCACCTACTTTGTACATCGTTCTGTGGGTGAATTAAAATAATGCCATATAAAGTGACTCTGTGTTAAATAATGAAGACAGTGAGCGCATAACAAAGATTGGTTTTTGTTATTTGGATTGTCCTGTAAGCATGCATTCCTACAGACAATATATGCAATTTATTTGTGCATATATGTGTATATCCATGGAGGAACGTATGATGAGACATTCTTTAACGATAGGTTGATGTTTCCTGTGATTCAGTACATAAATCAACCATTAACCAAGCATTATTCACCTATCCATCTGGTTTGTTGTTGTTGTTGTCGTTGTTTTGCTTTGCTTTACTTTGATTCATAGAGCATAGAACAAGACACATAAAATAAAATAAAATAAAATAAAACAGAAATAAAATAAAATAAAATAAAACAGAAATAGAAAATCAAGGCTTTTTAAACTGTAGATAAGAACAGCAGACTATCAGGAACAGATGACTGAACTCATACTGTTTCCATGGCACAGCCCTCTTTCTTGGTGGGGTTAATTAAAGTGTTATATCAATGGGAAAAGTTATATCAATGTCTATAAATCTTATAAATAAAACAATAAATCATAAATAGAATTTAATACTATGTATAAAAAGCAAAAATACTGGCTAATTCCATAATAGAACGAAAACCGTATTGCAAGGGTCAGCTTGTAATTACTCCAGCAAGGCTCAAATTCTACGCCAGATCCATTCAACAAGAAGTGTGTTGCTGGTCACATTGATCATGGTTTGGTAGAACATTTCCTTGATGGCTCTTGCCTGACCTCAGTAGTCTTCTGTAGAAAGCCTGGATCTCAAAGGCCCCAGTATTATCTTTATCTTTGGTTTTTGGGGGATTTGCAGTGTTTTGGAAGCTTAGCTTGTGTGTATGTGTGTGTGTGTGTGTGTTCTTTTATTGTCAGTTGGTTTAGCCTGACTGGATATTGTTGATTTCTCTGAAGAGTTGTCCATTTATCTTACCACCATGGCAGTTTAAAATGTCTAGCCAAATGGTTTCAGACCCTCATGGTGGCTACTAGCCATTTTTGGATTACAGTTTTTCCAAGAAAATCAATGCAAGATTTATTTAGATAATCAAGGGACATGGTATTCCTAAGGCCACCATTTCCTCTTAAAGATAGAGTTCATTTCTAACCCTAAGA